TGTAAAGGGAAAGAGACGGGTAGGATGGTAGCAAGGGTTTTGATTTTCAGATCAGAAAGCTGTGAGCAAGTTTATAGGCTTAGAGGAAAGATACAGGTAAAGATGGTGGGTTGGGGGACCAGGTATAAAGCCTTAATAAACAGCAGCTGGTAGGTCTTTCCTAAGAGGGGAAGGATGGAAAGATGAGAGTCAGATGGACACAAACACAAGAGAGTAACTGAAGGAACTCCCTGCTTTTCAGACTCAGTTTTCCGAGTGAAAAAGAAAAAAAGGCCTTCTGCTGAGAGTGAGCAAGGTATTGAGGTGGAGGGTTTGGAAAGGAAAAAAGGGAGTGGCAGAAGCTCCCTAAAGCTGCTAAAAGGGATTGTTAGGCAGAAAACTCATATGATTTTCACCAGCAATCCACAAGGACCCATATATAGAACTTGTGGACAGGAAGAACAAATTGGAGTAACATACATCAGGGCTTCTAAAATGGAGCTGGGAGGCCATTAAGGAAATGCAGCTTATGCACGCACACCACATCTCTACCCGGACGGCATGTAAATTTTGAACTGTGCTTCACTGTTGTCATCTTGACCCTCCTTCAAGAAATATGCTTACTCCCATAGATAAGAACTTTTTGCCTTAGAGATGGCCTTAGCAACCAATCACATAAAGCCAAGAAGCAACAGTTGTTGCTAGCCCCAATCAAAATTTTGCAAAACAACCTGTGTGATTTCTCTCTTTTTGTGTTTATAAACCCTTGCCTCTGTTGTCATCCTCAGAACACATTTTAGGTTTCTGCCTGAATCTGTGTCTCCAAAATTGCAATTCTAATCGCCTGAATAAATATCAGCTATTTGAATTGTAGTGAATTTTTCCTCAGTCAACAAACTGGAGAGGATGAATTAGGAGCCATGCTTCAGACTGGAGTCTTGCTTGATGACTAATGAGGAAGCAAGAAGGTTGGTGGGGAGAGAATAACTGAAATAATGGCTATGAGAATTGGGTCAGAGAGGGAAGTAAATGCAGAAAAGTGAAAATGGACTAGTCCAGAGGTGTGTGAGGTTGGAAACTGTAGGAGTAGATGAGAGGGAGAGCTTCTGTCCTGGAGGATGATAACCACAGATGTGCTTCTGAAATTTAAGATTACAGAGATGAGTCAGTCCTAGGCAATGATAGGCACAAGTATGACCATGGAACAGGCAGCCAAAGTGGAGTGGAGGGGAGGTAAAGGCTGTCAGTGCTGATGGTGTTGGCCAGGCTGACCACGTGAAAGTTGAAGTTGACCAGGATGATGGCAGGACTAAGGGTTGAAAGGAAAAGTCTGCAGACTAAATGTCAAAGTCTTCAGGGAGCATGGAGAAAAGCTCAGGAGACAAGTGGAGCAGAGAGGGGTAAAGCCTGGTGGCATGTGGTTTTGGTTAGGAGGCAGTAATAGGGAGCAAGAAGAAGGCCAACTCCACCCCCACCCCCAGCTCTGTGGTGGGAGGAGATAGGTCATTCTTTGGGGGAGAGGAAGGAGGTAGAGTATTTACAAAGAAGTTGACAGTAGAGGAGACTTTGTTTATAGGGGAAAGGAGAGCCTGGCAAGGGATAGGGTTGGCAGGAAGGGCTCAGTGCAGGGATATGTCTGCAAGATGGAAATACCAAAGCAGCATGAGAAGGTGGGACATTGTCATCTTAGGGAGGTAGTGCTAATGGCAAAATGGGCCAGGCTGACCTCCAGGTCCGGCTTACAGGACACCGGCAGGCCCCAAGTGGTGTGAACACCGGCAGGCCCCAAGTGGTGTCCAGGGCTAAGGGGCTCCCACTGATTACAGTCCAGTCAGCAAGCCAGGACCTTTACTCATTCTCGGCCTTTCAATCACATGCTAGTAAGAAGTAGTTTTGTGCTCAGCAAAGCTCAGCCCTGGAGTAGTGGGTCATGCAGGTGACAGAAGCAACCACTAGCCCATGTAGTCTGCCCGGCCTAGGGCCCCTGCCCAAAGAAGAGAAGGGGAGGAGGAAAGCACGTCACCAGGGCTTCCAGCGTATGAAAAGGAGAGTCCTGGACAAAAGCTTCCAGCTTCTGAAAAGCAAAGTCAGGACTGAGTCAGGTGTGAGAAGAAACAAGGTACACTGCAACATCTTTAAAATAAACACACATACAATGCACACATCCGTGCACAACAACGAAGCTGTATTCATAAAGAACATCAGTGCCTGCCAACACATAACAAAAAGAACTTGATTCAACCAGCATTTAAGGATCTAGTTACTATATGTTTTTTATTTGTGTGAAAGTTAATACATAGTTCTTAGCTGAGTGTGACCAATGAACATTTGTATTTGCAGTTTTGTAGGTTTTTCTACAAGAAACATCTGCTAAATACCTAGCTCTTCACAGCGCAATTTCGGAGCTTCTTTTCTTAACTGCCCAGTTCTCGCTCTGCGCTCACAGGAGGCCTCCCTCCAGCTCTCCCTCTCTGCCGCTCTGCCAATACTCTGCCAAGACCCTCACATTTCCCCCCAGCCTCAAAAGAGTTCTCTCTCGTCTGTAAAGCTACTCCCTCCACTTAGGCTGAATGTGACAGCTCCTCAAGAGTCTCCTTTCCCTCCTCCCTACTTCCCTGCACCTTCCATATGTCCTCAGCCAATCTTTCTGCCCATTTTTCCCTTCAGATCCTTTTGCAATAAGAGTATCAAAGAATTGATCAAGCTCTCTTTCCTTTGCTGTTAAGCATGCACAGTTGTGGTGATACCCACAGCCACCACCTCCTCTTTGCCAGGAACTTTACACCTAGTCCCGACCACCCCTCCAAAATATACGAAGTCTAGGTTCTACCTCTACCTGCTACCAAAACCATTTACTCAAGTTGACCCAATTCAGTGTGGTTTAATCATTCCTCTTCTTATTCAGCCTCTCTGCAGCATTTGACACTGTGGAACATTTCCAGCTTATCCATAGTCTTGCTTTCGACCACTCTGCACTGTCCAGTCTTCTCTTGGAGTTCTCACTACTCCTTGGAGAAACCCCATCCTCTTCCCCATCCCTAAGGGCTTGCTACCACGGGCAGTCCCGGTGGCTTAGTGGTTAAGTTTGCATGCTCCACTTTGGCAGCCCAGGGCTTGCTGGTTTGTATCCTGTGCGCAGATCTGAACCACTTATCAAGCAGTTTCCCAGATATAAAATGGAGGAAGATGGGCACAGATGTTAGCTCAGGGCCAATCTTCTTCACCAAAAAGAGGCAGATTGGTGGTGGATATTAGCTCAGGGCTAATCACTCTCAAAAAAAATGACTTGCTACCTCTACCTTTCTCCATTCACGCACGCGTCCTCAGTTGGCTCATCCCTTCCTTTGGATCCCAAATATCACTTCCAGTCTTTATTCTAACTGCTGGCAGAATATATCTAAATATAATTAAAATAATAATAAAGGTTATCATTAATGTAATTGTCTATGCCTTCCCAGTTTTCATATTTCAAAGTGCCATTATCCCATTTCCTTAGAAAGAGCAAGTACAACCCCTATTTAATAATTATGGACGCTGGAGTTCAGAGACACATTCAAGTCCAAACTAATCTTGCACCCAAAACTCACTTTTCTTATCTCTGTTGATGGCCAAAAGAAAAAAAAGCACCTTGATTTCCAGGCAGAAAATTTGTACCAGTTTTAATTCCCTTCTTTGCTCCCCACCCATGATTCCTGGCCCTAAGCGATATGGAGTCCTTCTTCCAAGTGTCTCAGGTTGCCTTCTTGGGTAGGATCTGCCATTTTGTATGTCCACACACAACCTCACTCTTAAAAAGATAGTGAGCTGGCTATTGTCACCCAAACTTGTCTTACCAGCTTGTTAACCCTGAAAACTTTCATCCTGAAAATACTTTTGATCTGTGAGAAAAGAATGATACGTTTTCAAGAAACTATCCCATGTTGTTTGCCTCCTGGAAGTTTTCACTTCAATCATCTTTTCAGTCAAAATGACCCAGTAGTTCACCAATCCATTCACTTAGCACCCACTGCTGTGTGCCCACAATATGCCAGCTGTGCCAGTGCTGAGCTACAGAAAGACCAATGCAACATGACCTCTGCCCTCAATTTAAGGTTTAATGAGAACCATGTCCATGTATCCCATTGTTTTAAACTTACAATTAAGTTTAAACCTGTAGTGAGTGCCTCCCTTTGCCAGGGGCTATAGGAATGGTAGGGCGGGTCACAGAGAGCCAGCCCTTAAGGAACTAATGGCCCAGCAGAGGAGACGTGAACACACATACTGTCAACAAAGCATGGTTCATCCACCCCACTAGGTTTTCATAATATTCCTGGACCAGCAGCCATAGTAATTGCAGGTTCTAGGCCCAAGCCTCTCCTACAGGCGCTGGGCAGGGCCTCTGGCAGCTGAGCTGTTCTGGGGCAATGAGGGGACTGTTTGTGGGTGAAAAAGAAAGAAAATGAGAAGGTGAGCAGAGGCTCTGGGGACAGGAGGGGTGACAACTGGTAGCAAAAGTGCTGGTATGGTGGCTTGGTGTGGGGAGGAGAGGGGTCAAGCAAGGCCAGTCAATTTGAGTAGAAACTAAGAAAAACTCCCCAGACATGTTGCTTGATGTCTCAAAACACGGTAGATGCTTGGTAAATTGTCGCATTTTTTATTGTGGCAAATACAGATTGGCACAAAGGAAAAACAAACATTCATAATAGAACAACCATCCACATTTCCTCTATATATGACTTATTTAAATGGATTATTACTGTGGGAGAAAAACAGAGTTCACAGATGCACGTGCTTCAGAATGGGTCAGAGTCAACTCTGGAGTCCCCCTCAGCGATGTTATGTGTAGCAGTAAATACGCCTTACCAATCGGTTAAAATATGGCTAAAAATAGCAAACAATTTGATTCAAGATAAAGGAAATACAAGAAAGTTGATTTAACCACTGCATTCATTCACACGTTCATTTAGCAAATCCTCATTGAAATCTTACTCTGTCCTGGCACTGAGGCCTGACTTCTAATACCCCCATTTTGTTTGGCACAGGGTTATGACTAGTGACTTCTGTGAATGCCATGAGTGGATGAAGTGGCACTGGTGGATCAGGAACCCTGATGTTGCCGACAGGTCATCCAGATGCCCGTGTCTTCCGTGGTTGCCTAGGACATGAGCAGCAGGAAGTGAGGGCCTTTCCCCTCCACACAAGGGCTTCACTGTCTGCACCATCAGTCCCCACTCTGACCTCAGGTCTTCAAGGAAATGAAAACCTGCTCCCCCTTGCAAAAGGCACACCTCCATATGCAGTCTACAGACCTGGGGGACTAGACCAGTGGCATGATCTTGCCATCCTCCTGCCAGAAGTAAATGAAAAGAATTCATCCAAATACCCAGACCAACCAAAGAGGGGGTCTGAGGGAGGAGATCCAGACTGTGAAAGGAGATGAGAACTGAGGAGACTGAGGCCTGAGAAGTCCAAAGCCGAGGATGCAAGGAGACAAGGAGGCAAGGAGGCTGGGGAGGTGGAGAAGGCTGAGGAGGCAGCAGAGGCTGCTGTGAAAAGAGGAAGGCAGGGAGCAGTGTCTGGCTGGAAGGGTGGGGTCCTTCAGGTATATCTGAGAGTAAGGGCCAAATGGACCCTTTCAGATGCCATTGGTTACAAACCAGCCTGCATCTTTAGCAAATGAATGTAAACAAGAGGCCCCACTTAAACAAGCCTCACATTAACAGTTCCTGCTTCCTCTAACTCATCCTAATTTCTCAATACAAATACAATAGTGATTTCATGTTTAGTCTCCTTTATGTTGCAAATAAATAGCAGGCCATGCCCATTGTGTCATTCTTTGTAGCCCGGAGAGTGCAAATATAGAATGTAAAATAATTTATCTTAAAACTGTGCTGTGAAAAGTGAATCATTTTGACAGATGATCATCACTCTTAGGGTACTGAATTTTTAAAGTCTAAAATTCACATGTAGGAGATTTGGCTACTTTAGAAAGATATTTGAACTGATTATCAGTTCATCTTGTTACCAAACCAGGTTCATTCTTGCCCACCACCCAGAAAGCCAAACACCAAGACAACGGGATTACAGCAGAGAGAGGGTTTACTCACAAGGCAGCCATGTGAGGAAGTGAGACCATGAGCCCCAAATGCACTTCCCCAAAAATAGGGTCTCAGGGATATTTATGGGACAGGGGGCAAGGCAGTCAGAAATGTGGAGAGACATGATTAGAGGTGAGGAGAGGTGAGGTAATTGATGGTCTGCACAAACATAGTCAGACTTCATGCCTCTTCATAGGACCCATGTTCACAAAATGGTGGCATTAGCATGATCTGAGGGTGGAGTTTTTAGCCTCTTGTTGTCAAATGGTCACAAATCGGACATCTCTGCAGGCCCAGTTGACGATTTGGTGGTCTCAACTGGCCTGAAGTGGACGAGGAGTTCTAATTCCTGAAAAACAGCTCACATGCCCATTACCATGGTGACCTAGGCTCCAGAAAGATGTTATCCATAGGAGCCTAGTGGGAGTCAGATAGCATATTGCCTAAACAGCACGGTTAACAATGGATGGGTTAAACAGCTAAAAGCTATAATCAGTAATTGCAAAAAGGAAAAAAAAACTTTAGTTCCTAGCTACTTAATCATCAATAGCTAACTTTCTGCCAGTTTCAATCCCCCTATTCTTTGGTCATTCCAAAGAATGTTTGGGGCAACAACCAATCTAGCTACTTCCTGCTGAATCGGGGCATAGATCTGGCTGAGAGGAATGAAACTGTTTAGCACTCTCATTTGGAAATGTTCCCTTGTTCCAGGCTTCATGTTGACGTTTTTGTATTATTAGAATTTTGTATCTTGCTCTACATCTAAAAAGCACATTTTATAATCAAGTATCTGATGATAAGGATAAGTATAGACAATCCAAATTTTAACAGTCCGTCAAAAATAGACCTAATTCCATTGGGGCCTCCATTTGATCTCCAGGTGGGGCAGACATCTGGTCTCAGTTCCTGATAGTCTTTTGTTTTATTGGATATGCATCAGAGACCAGAGCAATGGCCTATACCCTGGTCTTTCAGTTGTCATTGATAATGGCCATCAGCACAGACTCTCTGCCTGGGGGTCATCACATTCCTAAGTAATTCAAAAGAACAAAGTTATCAACTTATAACAACTAAGAGGGTCCATAAAATCTACAGAGTATGTCTGGGTTAGTTAATCAGAAGTCATTCAAAGTTACAATATGGTTTCTTTTTTACAATATGGCTTCCCTTATGCCAACCTTGTGTTGACTGGTGTCAATCCCACCTTTTGTTGTTCATCTTCAATCTTGAGGGATTATCCTGTTGATGAGGGGCATAGGTTGTTCCATCTCATTGAACCAGTCTCTTAGTAAGATGGTGATGCAGGTGGGTTCACAAAGTTGAGCCTTTCTGAACCCAGGTGGCAGCCAGACAAAAGATTTCTAGGTGTCAGAGTGCAAGCATCTTTTGCAGTTTGAAATGTCTCTGATGATGTCATCACGTGTTCAGGTATCTTACTGAGTGTCTTACACAGCAATAGACACGAATCTCTCTTACGTTTATATCAAGTCGCCCAGCTTCAGTTTGAAAGTCTTCAGGAAAAAGGGCAGGTTCAGTTCTCAATGATTCCAAATGAAAATGGTGGGAAAAAAATTGAAAATGTTAGTTTGGAGATTTGTAGCCAGATATTTCAAGAGACTAGAAGAATTCAGGATCCAGTCCAGTTAACAGACATAAAATAAAAACCTCAAATAAAATTATCAGAACTAGAACCTAATATCCATGAATGTGTACTACAGTTTTTATTGAAACATAATTTTTCTCTCTAAAATCACCCTCATTTTTACCAAAGAGAGCCAAATTAAGACTAACTGGTTTGCAAGATAAGCCTAGTTTCAATAAAACTTAATTCAATTATTTACATAATTACAGCAGGAATAGCCATTGATCATATAGGCTTTTTAAAATCTGCTTTGCTAGAACTTTTTATAAGGAATCTCAAGTTGAGCTTTAAATGCCTCTCGAGGCCAGAAAAGCCAAGCCAAGGATTTGTCATCAGGCTTTGCCTGGAGTTTAGATTTGGGTGAATTCCTCTCTTCTCTTGAGGCTCCCCAAAGTATTTTGAGATTCCAGGCACCTGCCAGATAAGTGACCTTCCTTACTTACCCAGGTTGCTGGATTCCTTGTAAACAAGGACCAAGCCAATATTTCCAAGTGGCTTTATTACAGGAAGTCAACCTTTATTCCTCAAAAGCTGTCTTGTCATATCTGAGTCTGTATGTTTCTCTCAAATATGACATTCCAGTCAAAGCTTTGGTAAGATAACCAACGTTTCCAACTGTGTCCTGTTAAAAGGAGAACAGATTCTTATTGAACTTATGCAAATAACTCTATTGCCATGAAAAAAATACTCACTCATTAAGAGTTTCCAAATCCTGGAGGGATCAGGTAAGAAGAAAAATAAATGTTTCAAATCTGCTTACAAAGGTATAATTTATCAAATTGATATAAGTCATAGTAAGCATGAGAAAAAAAGAGTAAAAGACTTCCTTAAATCTGGAAACAAAACAGAACATAAAAAATCAGCAATATCTCAAATGAGAAGTCATACAAATCATAGTCATCCTCATCAGTTCATTCAGTCCTGTGTAACTGATTCTTGATCTTAATCTTCTGTTAGCAGTTTTATGAGGTCATCAGTTTCTCTGTTAGAGTTCTGTAATTTCTTACCCAGTTCAGTTTTACAATCTGAAAGTTTATCAGAAATCTCTAGAGTGTCAGAGTCCTTTCCATGAATTTCTCTGAAGACAAAACATATTTTGCAAAAGCATCAGAGTAAAACAATAACTGTCTAGAAAAAACAAGATCCCAAAATGGAAACTGACAAAGAAATTTTGTTAATTTGTGACATACAATACTTTAAAATAATAGCCAGAATTATGGCCGACAACCAGGACCAATCAGAATTTTAGGAATGTTATATAATTTTTAAAATACTTATATCAATAACATTTACTCACATAATATCACCGTAGAAAGTTTATCATCACTTATTTTACAATGTTTCCCATGTAATTTAACATACCAAATAAGAGTAATAAGTTTAGTGTCTTCCTCCTTACAGGAAGAGAGAGCAAATCTCTTTGAGAAGTCTCAGGGGCCCTCTGAAAATCCTCAGAGAAATTCTCTTCTCTTCTTCCTGGCCAAAATAAAGCCTTTATTCAGGATTTGAATATTTTGGTGGGACAAGGAGCTGGTCAAAAATATCAAAAGGTTTTAAAACACTTGGTCAAATAGGAAACAATGTTCACTCTATTCAATCAAAGGGACAACAGAAACAGTCAAGGGCAAACAGTTAAAACAGTCAAAAAAATCTTAATAGAAAAATGTCAGTCTTTCTGAACATAGGAAATTATTTTAAGAAAACATAAATTTTATGTCTTTTAGGTAGACTTTCTCAAAAATAAATTTTAAAAACCTGTTAAAACCTCTTTATCAAGAGCAGACCAAAAGTTTAAGAAAATTATTCTTTTGAGAGAGAAAAGCAAATTTTAATTTTTGCACCAGTTCATTTTTTTCATTAAAACTCACTTACTTAATTGGATTTACTTTCATCTTAGCCAACTTGACCAGGCATAAAACTCCTTTCAGAATTTCTCTTTCACAAACCTTCTATAACTTTCTTTGCACATTCAGAATTTGTCCCATTTTCTTTTTCTTTTTCTTCTTGTACTTTAGGGCAAATTTGCCTTTCTTAACCCAACAAAAAAATGTCCTTATACTTTCTATAAATGTCTTTATACTTTCTATACTGAAAACATACATTTTACTTTCCTTAGATACAAAGATGTTTGCCTAATTAATTTTAGTAGCTTTAATTACATATGTTAATTAGAATTTTTAACCCTTACAGACCCTAGTAAAAACTAAGCAATTATGAACTGTCTTTTATATTAGCATACTGCAGCTTGGCCAATTTATAAATACATTTTATAATTTCTAGAAACATGCTACTTCATGGTACAATCTTAATAAAATACAAGACATGTTTACTAATAGACCCAAACACCTTTTAGTTTCTTTGTAATAAAAAGCCAAAAGCAGATAAATCTAGATATGTCTAATGATAATGTTTTAGTATTTTATCTTATTTGAAAAATGACCCAGATGTTCAGTGAGTTTTTATCATTCAATTTTACCTAGCAACACTTCAAAGTTTCAGGTTACCAGAAAGATTTTGGAAGTTATTTTAAATATACATGTCATAAGACATAATTATTTTTAAAAGTTTACCCAACACTTTTATCTTTTTCACATCTATTTAGTTTACTTGTTTCCAATAATTATTTAGATTACCTATAATGCTTCATGAGACATTAGACAAAATTAGCCATCATTTTAAGTTATTAGTTTTGCTAAACAGTTTTTTAATAAAGATAACATCAGCTTATTTGACCAATAAACCCAGACATGTCTGCATCATATCCAAATTCTGACAATTATGAGGACATGCTTATTTCAATCAAATCAACAACCTTAAATAAGCTTTCAGTTACCAAAGATTAATTTTATATCATGTTAACTTAAAAGACATTTGGGTTAATTTCTTTTCCATTTGTAAATAATTGATGTAACCACTTACTTTTAGCCAATTAAACAGAGCCCTTAATTTTGGCCATACCATCCTAAGGTAAAAATATCACACACATATAACATACATACAGACACACATATACAGAGATTGCACAGCTATTGTTTTAAAATTACTGCCATGAATCAGGTACAAGCCTCTCTAGTTATGAATCCAAATTTTGTTTTGAGCCCTTTTACTAATATGTGTGGAGAAGACCCTCAAGATGCTAGATTTTTGGTGAGGGCACTCTTCTGGCTGTTTTGGACTTTTTCCTTTTTTTTTCCCCTTCAGTCTTAGGAATTAGTGATGGGCTAGATAGTGCTTAGAGGATTTGCAAGCTCTTCGAGATAAGGGAAATGGGTGGAACTGCCTCTAAAACTACATTTCCAGTCTTACAAGGATTTTCCAAAGACAATTGCTCCTGATTTTTCAGAAATTGGGTTGTAACACAAATGACATTATGGGTTGATCTACCTGTCCACTACATCATAAAGGCACAAAGAAACCACTCAAGTTTTCTCCAAGATGGAGTTTCGGGGGCATAACCCACACAAAGTTGAAAGTCTTTCGAGTTAATTAAAATGCACCTGAGGGGTGAGTCTCCAGAGATGCTTGGGGCATTCCCCATGGTGGTTAAGCACCGTCAGTGTCTGGCTGACAGTGGGCCAGAGAAGGGTGCAGTACCCAACTGCAGCTGTCAACATAGTTATAAGATTTAGTCAACAGCCCAGGCACTTAGTCCGTGAGCCAGCACAAGGCAAGCTAGGGAGGCAAGAGACAAAGGCCTGGAGCTGGCAGGGGTAGGCTCCCAACACCAAGGTTGAGTTAAGTCCCTGGCAGAAAGTTTTTCAAGTTTTCATTTTACAGAAGATCTAGGTTCTGCTCAGGTACAGCCTGAACTGAACCCCGACTTGGTGACAACAGAGGAGGTGACGAACGAGACAGCAAAGAAGGGAAAGAGGTCATCAGGTCTCGCTCTCCCAGCCCCTTCCGGAGAGTTATCAAGATAAAGGTCACACAAACAACAGTTCCCAGGCAAGACAGTTTACAGAATAAATTACCAGTCTCCTGGCCCCACAACTGATATAGTAGGCGCCTAAAATCCTCAACAAGCTCTTGACAGGAGACAAAACAGGGTTCCAGATTGTCAGTCAAAGGACTGACCAAGGAGCCAATCTGGAATCACTCCAGAAGCCCAAAAACCAGAGGAGAGCTCCCAGGGGTGGAACATGGACTCTTTAAAACCAGGCAGAGGAGAGCTCCCTGGGGTGGGGGTGGGGTGTGGAGCTTTCATTAGCATCTGTAAGACCACAAGTGGAAGCTGAGATTCCAAATTTAAGTTCTTAAGACTAGTCATTGCAAGAGCTCCCTGATTGTGGCCATGTGGTGTCACAGAAAAATACCATCTTTTTCATAGACTCGCAACTGAAAGT